CGCAGATTCCAACGGAGTGCATCTTCAGCAGCACCTCATTTGGACCTGGTTCAGGAATAGGGTAGTTCTCCAGGCGCAGGTCCCCGGGTCCATGAACCACCAGAGACAGGTTCTCGGGCTTGGCCGCCGCCATGTCGCTCTTCCCTCCGGGGTGGAAGCTGCGGTCCGCAGGACGCTTGGAGGTTCTCTCTCATTGATGTTTCTATTTCCCTAACCCTCCTCTCCCTTCCTCTCTAAATATCAGTAAGAATATATTTTTTAAAAAACCTTTAACTTTTTTGGTGTATGGGATGTGGCTCCAACCAACTGAGCCGCCCAGCTGGGCTTCATAGTTTTCTCTTAATCAAAGTACCTTCATATTAATTTTCTCCCAATATGTATTACTGTAAAGAAAGATTAAAATTGTCTTTCATGTAGTTCTACTCCTCTATTTACAAACTTTTCATTAAACATTAAGCTTTTTTGGCCTTACATCAGCTTTTATGTTTCCTGGCTAAAATCATCCCCTTCAACAGAACTGATTTTCACCTTGATACTTACACATAACATTTTATGTTTTTAGACTATTAGTTCTTATGTTGAGAGATCCTCAAGACCACACCCTGGTTCCATGGTTCTCTAGTCTAGAGAATCAGAGGATTCAGATTCTAGAGAATCTAGTCTAGGACTCAGAGGATTCAGCATATAGTGGTACTGAGGACTATGATTTATTACAGTGAAGGAATCTGAAGCAAAATCAGCAAAGGGAAAAGGTGCATGCTGCGAGTCTAGGAAAAACCATTTGCAAACTTCCAGAGTCCTTTTCCAGTAGAGTCACACAGGTCGCGCTTAATTTCCCCAGCATGGGTGTGACAGCATATGAGATGTTGCCAACCAGCGAAGGTCATTAGAGCCTCGCCATGCAGATTTTTTTTTCTTTCTGGCTGGTCAAGTAGGCACTCTGCCTGGCTAAAGTTTAGCCTCCCAGAAGGAAAGTCACTGTGCCATAAACATGTTGTTTGTACAAACAATTTAGGCACAGTGAGCTGCACTTGTCAGTTAATAGCGGGAACCCTCATGAAATCTAAGTTCACAGATGCCAGTCAGGGGCCCAGCTTTATAACCAGGACTTCCAAACAGGGCTAGTAGTCCAAACCTGTTATGTAAACTCTTCTCCATAGACTTTCATTCTCATCTCTCCATGAAATGGTTATTCTTATAAAAACACTCTGATTAACTTACAGGGTTCCATTTCACAAAACATTTTTTTTGTGTTGATGCTATGTGTAAGACCCAAAGGTGTTATAAAGATGAATGAAATATAGTTGTTTAGTCTAAAAGCAGGGAACTTTGGTACAAGTCAGATTGTGCTGAATGTCACAGTAGAGGTGTGAATTAAGGACCACCAGAACATAGTCTGGGAACGGCTGAGTACAAGGACATGGGTAAAGATTTTTCTCTAAGTAGATATTATTTCAGTTGGGCCTTGAAGGTGAATAGGAATTAGGCTGATGAAGAGGTAAGGTGGACAAGGGCAAGGTAAAGAGAAAGCATATCCAAAGATATAGAGTCATGAAAATGTATGGTGGTTCATCATAAAAGTGACCAGGTTTGGCTATTCAACTGATTTTAGAGAGATTGGAGAAAGATGAGGTTGAAGAACTTGGGAAAAGCAAGCTGTGATGTGTAAAGGAGGTTTTTTTTTAACTAAGCAATGTTTTCTTTTTTGCATAGATCATAGCAGCTATTATGATTAGATCTGTCTAATAATAATCTGATTTTAGGAACGTAATATTGGTAGTAGCATAAAGCTCTGTTTTCCAGAGTGTGTGCAGATTGTGGTAGTAGGTTGTGAAATTAATTCATGGGTTTTTTAAATGAGCATTTTAAAAAGGAAATGGGATATTTTATAATATATCATATTGCATTGCCTTTAGTAAAGATATTTCATGAAATGTTTGTTGTGTGTGTGTGTGTGTGTGTGTGTGTGTGTAAGATGAATTGCAAGACTGGAGAAGAAGTCGTTTCCAACAATATGGTGAACTAGGTAACCTGGAAATGTTTCTGTTACATACTTATAGGAATACTAAATAAAAAATAGGCCACAAAGTGCACAGCTGAGTGATTAAGAATTTAAGTGAAATACTCAGGAATTAGAATGAAGAGTAATTGAAAACAGAGCAGTAAGATTGTTGAACTAATATTTGGAGATTGTAGGGTATGGGAGAGGAGGTAGTTGGTCTCCTATTTAGGGGCTTTGGTTTTAACAATGGGGTGTTAACACTAGTTGTTGAGAAATATCCTGAGTCAGTAATTTAGGAATTGAATCTCTTGTCTTCGGGTCTGGGTTGAAGAAAAATCTTTAAGAATGAAGAACTGTGATTCCATCCCTCATGAAGTCTTGGAATTCAAAATCAAACCTCCAAGGTGGTCTTGAGACCTGCAATCTGGAAAAGTAACATAAAAATTTGATCTCAATTTGACACACATTCAGTCCAGGCCACACACATTTCTCATGATTTAAAGCTACATTTTAAACCACCATGAGTGAGAATCAGCATATAGAGAAACTGATGGGATGGGTTTCCCCCAAAACTTCAGCAGATGGAACTATCTGGAGACTATAAAATCAGTATTCTTAACACGAGTGAAAATAAAAGTAGGAATCTAAAACATAGAAGAGCCCAAAAGGGGAGAAAAGGTAGACTAGAAAAGTAATTTTTAGAAATAAAAATATCACTAACATTAAAAACTTATTCAGTGAGTTAAATTATATGTTAGACTCAACTGATGGGGAATTATTGAAGTAGATAACTCAAAGGAAATTATGTAGAATGCAGCAGAGATAAATAAATTGAAAATGTGAAGTTGAGTCATGGAAAGTAGAATGAAAGGTTCTTCATATTTCTAATGAGTCCTAGATGTGGAGAGTAGAAAAAATAGGATTAAGACAATATTCAAAAATCTCGGCCCTCGAACCAGCTCGCAGCCTCACGCACAACTATCACCCGAAGGGCGAGAGGGGCGAGAGCAGCTAGAGCAGCTGTAGTGTTGCTTTCTCCTCACTTTTGGTAGCGAAATCCTCATTTTAAACATAAGAGGATACATTATTTTAAAAAGCCGTTACGTGGCTCCGTACCCTTTCTGAGTAGAGCGTGAACAAGTCGTGAGAGACCTTTCCGAGCACAGGGACACGTTGCGGATGGAAATAGCTACATTTTCCATGTGTATGACCTTTGACCTGGTGACAAAAAGCGTACACCTATGGATGAGGACAGTGGGGGCGGGGGGGGAAGGGGAGAGGGGGGGGGGGGAACCGGGGGGAGGGGAGCTATGGGGGGAAAAAAGAGGAACAACAATTGTAATAATCTGAACAATAAAGATTTATTTAAAAAAATATTTAAAAATCTAATGACTAAATTTTCCAGACTGTATGAAAGACAAATTTAAGAAGTACAATGTGTCTGAAGCCCAAAGTAAAAATAAATCCATGTCTAGATACCCTACAACAGTGGTTCCCAAACTTATTTGGCCTACCGCCCCCTTTCCAGAAAAAATATTACTCAGCCCCTGGAAATTAATTTTTTTTAAATTTTAATAGCAGTTACTCATCGCCCCCAAATGCACCTGTGGCCATCACCGCCCCCCTGGATCGCTGCAGCGCCCATCGGGGGGTGGTAGCGCCCACTTTGGGAATCACTGCCCTACAATGAAACTGCAAAACAATAAAGACATAAAGAAGATCTGAAAGCAAAGGTAAAAGTCAGGAAGCTATTCAATAATCAGATTAAGAGATGTATGCTCGATGTCACGAGATGGGCCCAGAAGACCTATCAGAATTACAAGTGGCATGATTTGGTGACTCAGTGAATGTTAAGGTAAAAGGTTTAGGAAGGAGGGATTTCAGTTGATGCTGAGGTTTCTAGTTTATTTTCAAGGCAGATAATGACACTGTTCAAGATTGGAAACATAGAAGGATGAAAAGATTTGGAGTGTTGCCAAGGATTTGAAGAGTGAATCAGGAAAAATAACAGTGCTTAGGACTTAATGGGTTTAAGTAACTGGAATACCTAGATATAGCTACTTGCAGGTAATTAGAAATATCAATTCAGGGTCTAGAAAGGTTAAGCATTAGAATACATGGATTATTTTTATAAGTGATTATTAAAATCACGGGATTGCCAAGGGATAGAATGCAAAGTGAGAAGAGATGGCAGCATGTTTTGGAGCTTGGGGCATGAACCTCATTAAGATATAGAGACCTAACAATGAGAATGTGTTGCACCAGGAAGGGGTAGTATAGAGCTGAGAAGTTTAGTGAGACTTGATCATCTAGAGATGATGGAAAGAAAATGGGACACACTTAATTCCCCCAGCAAGGAGTTGTGACAACACATCTGAAATGTTGCCAACCAGGGACACTCATTAGAAACTCAGTGCTTGATTACCTTGATACCTGTTGAACTTTGAAAAAAATCTGAGTATTAGAAGTGATACCTAGATTTTAGTGATCTAAAGAATAATTAGAGGTGAGAAATTAGAAAACATTTTAAAAAAATAGTTGGGCACTAAAGAAAGAAAAATTAGCTTTGTCCATCTTGTTTAAAATACTAATAATTTACCTTGCAACAATCTATCACTTTAAGAAATGTTTTTGAATCCCTTGTATATTGTCTGTTTTAGTCTTTGAAGATGGACTTTATTTCTCTTCTAATCTTGTTATGAAAACAGCAATGCTTGTTAAATGATTAAGCAATTTTTGGTGCCACTTTATTGCCTTCTATCAGATGGACCTCTTTCTATTTTTCCCTTTTCTCAAATGCCTATCTTCTTTTAAAAAACTCTTTTCTCAATATTTATTCTATTTTCAGATTTCTCTTTCTCATTTATTCATTAATGGCATTATCTTGGGGCAATCAATACTAAAGAGGTTCCTTAGGATTTAGGTTGAAACATTGAAAAGGTTGGTACTTGTTGGAGGTATATTACTGTGTTAAATTTCTCTTGTTTTATGACCCTAGGAAGAACATAGCAAAACAACAATGTGAAGCCATTGTTGGAGCCCAATGTGGTAATGCCGTGTTAAGAGGAGCCCATGTCTATGTTCCAGGAATTGTGTCAGCTTCAAAATGTATGTATGAAGGGTTGTAAAAAAATAATACAAAGGAGCATATGTTAAGAGACTTTATGTGGCTCACAAAGTCTGAAATATTTACTTGTCCTTTGCACAGAAAGTTCATTGACCCCTGACCTATTTGAACAGTCCTAGCTATAGCTGATGGGCTCCTCTCTACTATTGTCAGGTTAATGGACTAGACAAATTTATAATAGGTTAGGTCTTAAAACATTTTTTGGATGTAGAATACAATTGTTAATGTTACTGTTGTTTTTTTTTTATTGAAAATAATTTAATGAAATGACTACAAAGCTAGATTTAATCAGCCATATAAATCAGCTCTGGACTCTAGAGTTTCAAAGAGTACATATACTCATATAAATGAATATATGTGCTTATTATTAAAATCTGCTTTAATTGCTATAATAGGAAAACTGCGAAGAAATACCAACAGGGTTATGGGATTTAGAAAGACTCCTTTGAGGAATTTGAGTGTATGCTTTTAAGAATACTTTTGAAGGAAACTTAGAAATTTGAGGGTGGAGTCAAAATATCAAGATTTATATGAAGTCTTTTAGGGAATATTAGGTTTGGGGAAAATAATTTAGATTAGAAGATTGCTTTCCACCCGCCCGGCCTGTGTGGCTAAATGGTTGAGCATCGACTCATGAACCAGGAGATCATGGTTCCATTCTTGGTCAGGGCACATGCCCAGGTTGTGGGCTTGATCCCCAGGAGCAGGCATGCAGGAGGCAGCCAATCGATGATTTTCTCTCATCATTGATGTTTGTATCTCTCTACCTCTCCCTTCCTCTCTCTCTTAAATAAATAAAAACATATTAAAAAAAATAAGATTCTTTTTTTTAAAAAATATATTTTATTGATTTTTTACAGAGAGGAAGGGAAAGGGATAGAGAGCTAGATACATTGATGGGAGAGAAACATCGATCAGCTGCCTCCTGCACACCTTCTACTGGGGTTGTGCCCGCAATCAAGGTACATGCCCTTGACCGGAATCGAACCTGAGACCCTTCAGTCTGCAGGCCAACGCTCTATCCACTGAGCCAAACCGGTTAGGGCAAGAAGATAACTTTCCTTTTCTGCTTAGCTAAAGACTTCCAGTTGAGTTAGGATATTTTGAAGACTATTTCATTTCTTTGTTTTCCTAGAAAAAAAATCTTCAATTTAGAATTATTGTTAGAGATATTTAAAAACAAAATGTCATTATTTTCTGTTAGCGATTATATTGAGTTGATGAGCCATTTTAGGCTGCTACTTGCCACTGTTGTTGTCCTTAGAGTTTTCCAGTCTAGCTTAAAGAATTTTAACTGTTTTTCTATTCAAATATATATCATTATAATATGATTTTCTTCTTTCTTTAGTTATGAAAGCTGGAGATGTTGTTTCTGTATATTCTGATATTAAAGGCAAATGTAAGAAAGGAGCCAAAGAATTTGATGGAACAAAAGTATTTCTTGGAAATGGGATTTCTGAATTAAGCCGCAGAGGAATCTTCAATGGGCTACCTGAACGGAAGTATGTTATTAAGTGTTGTTTGGGGTAAATAAGCATTTTTTGTGGTTCAAGGGAAATTAAAAACTCTATAAAAATAGTAGCATTATATGAAAAATTTTGGGGGGTATAAATTTAACTGGAAATTACTTGATCCATATTTCCATGTTTTTTAGGAAAAAATGATGTAACAGTAAATGCTCAGATTAAAGAGTTTTAAGTAAGCAACTAGTCATGATGTACACAAATAATTTTACTTTTCCTTTTCAATTTTATTGATTTGAAATTTTTTCATCTTTGGAGAACAATACTTTTCTTGAAAAAGGATGAATTATATTAACTTCCCCAGATCTTTTTAAACATTCTGGTTTTGTGAAAGGAAAAACCCTATCAGTTTAATATAACTTAAAAAGAAAAAAAATTTGTTTTTAAATCCTCAACCTAGGTAGGACGTGCTGAGAGAGAGAAGGAAAGAGAGAGAGAAACATTGATGTGAAAGAGAAACATCAAACTAAGAAACTGGATTGTCCACAAATTTAATATATTTAGAGCCAGTAACAACCAGAGATGATTTAAAACTAATTATATTTTAATTTGGTTTGAGTAAATCCAAACATTAATTTTTGACCACAAGTATTGATGTGAGTGCTGACTTTCTGGTAAAATTTATTTTTGATTAAATTTTTTTTTTTTTTTGCCCATCTGGAGTGGCTCAGTTGGTTGAGCATTGTCCTGTGCACCAAAAGGTTGCCAGTTGTTTCCCAGTCAGGGCACATATGGGAGGCAATGTAACTTATACAGACTAATATTAGATTTCCTACTTTTCAGAGGTATAGGCATAAGAATGACAGAACCAGTATATCTCAGCCCTTCATTTGATAATGTACTGCCCAGCTACTTATTTCTACAGGTAAGTAATTGTGAAAGTGTAATATTTAGTGACATTGAAACATACTACAGTGAATTATTAGAAATCTAAGGTATTTTTTTTTTACTTTTATTAATACATTTTTGTGGTCTATTTACATATTTTCTGATCTACCTTTGGTTAAGCAGTAAGAAAAAACTTTGTAAGCATTATTTTTTCTCTCAACTGATTAACTACCTTTTTACCCAAGAGTGCTTTAATATAAAGCTTATCATAAGTGTTGCTTTCCATTTCAACATATTAATCTGAAAATAATATATGCATTTACTATATATAAATGTTCATTTGTAACTTTGAGTAAGACTCAAATGGTTTCCTGCTAACAGATTTTTGTCAGGTGGTTATTAATTACGGTGCTGTAACAAGTACAGTCAAATCTCAGTTCTCAAACATCTCCCATCTCGAACAATTCAGTTCTCAACCAAGTTGTTCATGGAAAATATGTCACAGTTGTTGAACAACCCTTCCTGCCGATACATCAGCATGACAAGAAGTGTCTCTCAGGCCACAAATGAGGAGAATGCCAGTCAGTTTACCACTAAACCTCACTTGTTGTTAACATCTCAGGAAATTGTGCTGTGAAATTTTTTTTGTTGTTGTTGCCTGTGAAATGGATGATTAGCACAATTTTAAAATATAAAGAGGCCATGAAAACTGCTAATGTTGCTAAGGGTGTGAAAGGAACAATGATCACAGGCAATTGAAGAGGTGGAAAAATGGTTGTTGATTTGGATAAATGAAAAGCAATCAGCCAGTGACAGTATTTTGGAGGCAGTGTGAGGAAAAACTGACCTTCTGAAAGACACCCCTGGAACGTGTGCTGAAAGTGATTCCTTTAAGGTAGTAGGGGGTGGTTCCATAGATTTAAGAAAAGAAGTCTTTGCTTATAGATTAAACAGTACATTAGACATTTACTGTATATAAGAAAGGTTAAAACAGGAAATCATTTGGGGGTCTGGAATGAATGAATGCAGTTTACATTATTTCTAATGGAAAAAGTGATTTGGTTTTTAAACAAATAGCTTCTTGAGCAGCCTTCTGAAACCAATTAAGTTTGAGAACCAGGGTTCCACTGTAATTTATTTTGCCTTGTTCAGTTTATTAAGTACTTGTGTTTACATGAACTGATTTGTTGCAATCTGGTTAGGCGGTATTATTATTACTATTGTTATTATTCCCAATATAAGAGGATATCAAAGATCAGATCTGTTAGGGTTCTTGAACAGTGTTACCCAGGTTAATGGAGCCTGCAGGTTTGATGCCTGCTTTGCCTGTCAGCTGGTGGGAGAGGGCTCAACAGCAGAACCATGGCACCTGCCAGCACTTCATCCTGCCAGCTATGTCAGACAGGGCTCAAAAAAGGAACAGTGGTGCCTGTCCTCCAGCCCTCGCCATGAAGCCAGGCAGTTCCGTTTCTCCCCATATGTTCCTGGCGCTTTTCCAGCTGCTGTCCCTGCACTGGAACTCAGAGCAAGTGAGTTTGAGAGTGAGTTAAGTCTGTCTCCTGGCCTGGTAAGCTCTTCAGTGACTGGGTCTCCAGCAGCCCTCATCTCACTCAGCTCCAGTTCTCACTGCTTTTTGCATCTAGAAGTTATAGGGACTTTGCTTCCTGGCACAGGAGCCCTGGTCTGGGGAGGCCTGGTGTGGGGCTGGGACCCCTCACTCCTCAGGCAGGACCTCCGCAGCTGACATATCCCTCCTGATTTTTATCTGCTACACGTGGGTGTGGGATCAGCCCGTTTTTGTCCCCACCCCTCCTTCCGGCCTCCTCTTTATATCCTTAGTTATGGGGATTCTCTTGAACTGGTCTTCAGGCAGTTTTTATTTTCCCCAGGCAATTTTCAGTGATGATTGTTTTGTAATTTAGTTGTAATTTTGATATTATTGTGGGAAGAGGTGAACACAGTGTTTATCTACGCTATCTTGACCCGGAGTCTCCAGAAGTTTTTTAATTTGTTGTAGTCTCACTTATTTTTTATTTCATTGCTTTTATTTGGGTATCAGTTAAAAAAAATCATTGCCAAGGCCTATGTCAGGGAGCTTACTGCCCTTGTTTTCTTCTAGCAGTTTTATGGTTTAAGTTCTTGGATCAAGTCTTAAATCCATTTTGAGTTGCTTTTTGTTTATAGTGTAAGATGGTGGTCTAGTTTCATTCTTCTGTATGTGGCTGTTCAGTGTTCTCAAAACCATTTATTGAAGACTGTCCTTTCACTATTGTGTTTGTGTATTCTTATCTCCTTAGTCATAAATTAATTGAACAGATATATGTGAAAGTATTTCTGGGCTCTCTCTCCTGTTTCATTGATCTCTGTTTTTATGCCAGTAACATTGTTTTAACCACTGAAACTTTATAGTAGAGTTTGAAATCTGAGAGGATGATGCTTCCAACTTTGTTCTTCTTTCTAAAGATTGCTCTGGCTATTCGGGATCTCTTGTTATCTCATATGAATTTTATGGTCTGTTTCTGAATATTTAAAAAAAAATCACTAAATGATACTCCTGTGTAGCCAGGATTGAGAAATACTATAGAGAAAGGTAGTAGACTAAGTTCTTTTAAGAAACTGCCATCATTTAAATACATAGTGAAGAGTCTTTACTTGGACTATTTCATAATGTTTACTTATTGCTTGACCAGAAGTTTTTAATGTGTTACTTAACTGACAGTGAAAATTTCTGTCATCTTTGATCCATATATTAATCTTATCTTTATTAGGAGTTAAGCATAACCATTTGTCTCTAGCTAAAGAATCTCCATTAGCCACTTATGTGTCTTTTCATATTAGAGTTCAACTTTTAAGTCTTTTTGGAATAGACCTGGCTGTTAAGAAAAACTATCTGTAACAGGTGAAGCTGTTTATTGGTGTTTAGTGTGGAGGGTCTGCTTTTCAGGTACCTCAGTTGTTTATATTGATTTTAATGCTTCCTGTATCCACGTGGAGGGGTTGTGTGTGGAAACTTGCTTCTTATGTCTCCTTTCTCACCATTGATTTTCTGTTTTGAACTGGTGATCTTGGATTCACTGAGAATCTTGTAACCTTCTCACAGTTCTTGAGGACATACTAATGGATTTAATGTTTTGGTGTGAGAATGAATTAAAAACTTTAAACAGCCCTATGCTTGTTAGTCTCTACTTTTTTTTTTTGCCAAATATTTTTAAAAATGTAATTATTTTGTGATATTGTTCTATCTTATTTAAAGCTGTCATCCTTTAGTAACAATTCATATATAACTAATACTAATAATGATTTGATATAACTTACTACTATAGGTAGAGGTATATTTGGGTTGTATTATCTCAGAATATATTTTTGTGTGTCTATCAGACATAGCTAAAATTTTTCTTACATTTTACTTTTCTCCTACTGAAAGGTAGTAGTGGTGAGAAGATAGGAACTCTAACATGCCTTTCAGTGGCATTAGCTGTATAAAACTGGGATTTCAAAATGGGAGTTAGATGGTGAAGCACCTGAAGTTGCAAATTCTTATAAATTTTCTGGGGAAAAGATCCAGAGCTTTCTCATATTTCTAAGGGATCTCTCTGTCTCTGGCCTCCAAAATATTGAGAACCACTGAATTGAGAAAGGACAATATGCTTATTTTGCTGAGTTGATTAGAGAAATGCATTGTGTGTGTGTGCATGTGTGTGAATGTTCTATGAAATCATAGGATACTCGAGGAAATGGAGAATTTCCTGACACCATTATCTATATACCAGATGCCCGGTGCATGAAAGTTCATGCACTGGAGGGGGTGTCCCTCAGCCCAGCCTGCCCCCTCTCACAGTCCTGGAGCCCTCAGGGGTGGGAGGCGACTCAGTGATCAGGGGAAGGCGATGCCCCCATCACACCTCTGCTGCTGCCACTGCCGGCAGCGGAAGCCTCAGCCGTCCCTGGTTACCTGAGCCTCGGGCAGCCCTGGGCGGCTGGGCAGCTGGGCAGCTGAAATCCAAGACTTGTCTGTGCCTCGGGCGTCAGCTGGGGAGCTGACATCCGAGGCTTGCCTGCGCGTTGGGCCAGCCCTAGGCGGCTGGGGGGCTGAGGGCGGGTCCGGCCGCACTGTGCGCCTGCTGCGCCTCCCCCCCCCGCCTCCCTTTCCCCCCCACGGCTGGGCTGAAAGGACTGTGGGACTTCGGCGGGGCTGAGGGGACTGGGAGCCGCCACCTTTGTGATGGTCAATTTGCATATTCCCTCTTTATTAGATAGGATATAAAAGACTAAGTGTCCATCCATCTGACCGATAGCTATGATGTGCACTGACCACCAGGGGCAGATGCTTAACGCAGGAGCTGCCATGATACGCACTGGCCATTTAAATATAAACGGCACCACGGACCTGGCACTGACAAACCAACACTCGGCTTCCCCCAAGTGGGACACAGGCCCTGCCACCACCCCGGAGCGACAGCCCACCAAATCACAACCAACGCTGCCAAGACCCCATGGTTCAAAATGCGGCCCACAGCCCAGCCCAAACTGGAAATGGTGGCTGTGGGTGCCAGGTAATGACGTCACATAGCAATGCCTGGCTTCCTTTCTAGCAACTAGCTTCCTTGGAGTTTCTTCAGCCTAGGAACCCAACTTGCTTTATAGCCAGGTGCAAACATTTTACAGTTTAACCAAATGTTTGTGAAGCATTTTCCCGTGCCTCATCTTATTTGATCCTCATAGAAGTCCTGGAGTAGGTAGATAGGAGACTTGGTAGAGTCCTATTTTCTTTTCATTAGCAAGATGCGAATAGCGATATTAAAATATTTCTTCTAATTAATTTCCTTTCAGTGTGTACGAATCCGTGCATCAGGATTCTAGAAGTTACAAAAAATGTACTCTTGGTAAAGGATGTTGTATTATATTACCTCCAAAGATTTCTTTACATTCTCTGATTCTGATATTTAAATTGGTTTAGTATAATGATAATCTTTTTTTGTTCTTATAGAATTTGCCATCTGCTGTTGTAACTCATGTTCTGGATCCTCAACCTGGAGAGAAGATTCTAGATTTGTGTGCAGCACCTGGAGGCAAAACAACACACATTGCAGCACTAATGCATGATCAGGTAAGATTGTCTTCACAGCAAAACTACTGTCAGTGTATTACATTTCAGTGATGAAGGTGGAACTACATGTAACTTAGGAAACATTTTGAAGACATTCGTAATCTGACTTATTTCAAATTCCAAAGGGAAGACTGTTCAGTGCACCTGATCCAGAGCTGGTTAACTAGGGGATCTGATGATCTTGCGTAGGCTCATTCACTTTTTGATTGGTGTTGGCTTATGTAAAGTGACCCCAGCTGAGACCATTAGGGTGCCCTGCCTCTGGTCCTTGTGTTTCTTATACTCCTGCTAGGAACAGATGGCTAGCCTAGCTGAGGGCAATCATTAAGGGTTGGCTGTGGCTGAGGGCAAAGTAGAGCAAGGCCAGCTGTTCAAGTGCTATTCGTTTCTCTGTTTGCATTACATTTACTCTCATCCTATTGGCCAACACATATCACATTGCTGAGCCCAAGTCAGAATGGCAGGTTATTGCAAGGTAAATGGCAAAGATGAGGATATGTGGGAAATTAAACTGAAGTTAGGCAATCTCTCAGAGTGGGACAGCAATGGAGAAATGAACAACCTGAATAGAGATACTTGAGCCAGAATGAATCTTAGATTTTGTTGCTGCTTTCGATTTATTTTGATAAATTTTGTGTAAGTTCATCCTCTTTTCTGTACTTTTGTAAAAGTAGCCTTCAGCCAGTGGAGTTACTTCTTCACTGCAGTATATTTGAACCTTGTTTTGTGTTGTTTTTGCCTACTTTATCAGTTCAGCTCACTTGAAATGGTTTTGTTTGTCAAAGTATTAATTGGAACTATATATACCATTAAACCTGGTGTCACATTTAGGAATATTATCAGCAAATTCCTGGTATTGTAGTCTATGCATATGATGCATATGTCATGCAAGGACAGTGTGTATAAAGGGAACAAAAGCAAGAAAATATTTTGAAAGGTTAATTTCACCATATCTGCAATATCATTTCATAGTATCAAATGTTTTAAAGTATCATGAATATCACAATACATTCATAAAAATGACCCTCTTGTCTTTATCAACTTTGACTTAACTGAAGTATTTTGATAAAAAATTTTTTTTTAATTTTTTATATGTTTTTATTGATTTCAGAGAGGAAGGGAGAGTGTGTGCGCACGTGCGAGAGAGAGAGAGAGAGAGAGAGAGAGAAACATCAATGATGAGAGAGAATCATTGATCAGCTGCCTCCTGCACACCCTCTTCTGGGGATCGAGCCCGCAACCCGAGCATGTGCCCTTGATGGGAATCGAACCCAGGACCCTTCAGTCTACAGGCCGACACTCTATCCACTGAGCTATAACAGCTAGAGCTAAAATTATTTTTGAACTATGTTTTATACCAGTCTAGAACATTTGCGGTGATATACAGGCATATTTCTCTGTCTTTAGTTGTCAGAATTTACATGATTTTTATGTGTATAGCATAGAAAATATTGAGATGAGGATTGATTTTGTAAAAGGAAAGACTTAATAAGTATTTGATATAAATTCGATATATGTTTGGTTATTGAATTCAACTTTAAAAGTAGGGGTAGGAGGAAGTTGTGGAAGTTCATAGTTTTTCATGGCTTTCTCATTTTTTTTATTATTTATTTTAATTTTATAAATTTGCTTTTCAAAATTCCTTTCCCCTAGGCACATTTTCTTTTTCTTTTTTTTTAACCTTACATACATATAGTTTATATTATTATTATTTTTTTAATTTAATTTTATTGTTTAAAGTATTACAGAGAGCAGTACATATGTCTCCTTTTTTTTTCCC